AATTAACGGGCAATTAGCGGGCAATTAGCGGCACTCGGGATGCTCCCGTCACTGCCACCCCTGCTCCCCGGCCTGCAGAGGTCCTGCCGAATGCCATCAGTGCCTCCGAAATGCCGCAGCAGGAGAGGAGGGAGTGATGGAAGAGCTGAGCCTGAACACCGAAGGTTCGGCTCCAGCCTGACTCCCTCCCGGGCTGCAGAAGGAGGTGCGGCGTGGTGGCCACGGCCACAGGTGGCCCCTGTGCCCTTCTGCTCACCTGAACAGCTCAGGGGGCTCTGCAATTAGGCAGCAAACCAAGCAGGGTTTTCGGAGCCTGGAACAGGCACTGCAGGCTGAGAATCAGGAATCTGATTTATTCCTTCCCCTGGAACTGTCCATTAACTCCTGGCAGTGCCCAGGGCCAGGCTGGACACTGGGGCTGCAGCAGCTGGGACAGTGGGAGGTGTCCCTGCCATGGCAGGGTGGCACTGATGGGATTTAGGGTCCCTTCCCACCCAAACCATTCCATGGTTCCATGATGGTTGAAACACCCTCTACCAACCCCCCCAGTTTCAAATCTCAGCTCCTCTGGAAGCCCTGAAATCCTGCAAAGAGTCACAAAAAGTGACTTCCCAGCTGGTGAAGTTCCAGGCAGGATCCTTTTCATTATTCACTCCCTCTCATTGATTACAGAACTTATCAGGATTTCAAGCCCTGACAAGGAAAATGCTTTTAAGTGGTTTCAGCTCTGTAACCAAATGAGCAATGCAGCAGGAATGGATGCCAGGGGAGGGGATTGGCATTGAAATGCTGCACACAAACACTGATAAGCCACAGCAAGTTCCAGAAGCACAGCTGGGCACACGCACAGCAGGGGGAAAACCTGCAGCAGTGAAGAGATCTGGGAGAGGAACCCAAGCAAAATGCACCTGGAAAAACCCCAGAGCAATGTAACAGTGTCCAAACACAAAAATTGTACAGATTTTTAAATCTTAATAGAATTTCCAAGAACAAGGATGCTTCCCTGTGCTGGAACAGCCACTTAGCTGGGTATTAAACATCAAGATTACAGAACTTATCAGGATCAACAACTGTGAACAGTAAATCCAGATGTGGAGACAAATGTAGCTGCTCCCCCCAAACATGTCTGAATTTACACAGCTGGGAGCTGTCCTTCACCAAAAGAGGCTGAGCTACCTCCTAAAGAGATTCTACTGCAATTAGAAGTTGAACCCAAATCTGAAGCAGCAAAGAACCTGCAGAGCAAATGTTACGATTACAAAATGTTATGGACCAAATATTCTGTGGACTTCAAAAAGACCAGTAAATAACCAAATAAATAGGCCTGTCTGAACAGTGTTCCCTCCAGTTTGTGTCGCCCTCCTGCTGTTGCAGTGAGCAGCAAATCAGGCCCAAAGTCCATTTCCAGGCAGGAATAAACCAAAAGTGACGAGCACAGTTTTAATTCCAACTCCAGCATTATTGTGGGGAACATTTCCCCCTCTGAGGCTGAGCTGAAGAAGTCAGGCAGAACGTTTTACCACAGGCTCCAGGAACAGCTTCCCAAGAATGATAGCACAGAAATTCAATTATTAATTACTCTGCAGGAGAAGGAAGCTCCCAAAAGGCACCAAGCTCCTCCAGCAGAAAGCAGCAGGAGCAGTGCTGTGGGTGCCTCTGGGGAAGGGGCAGGAGAGACCCCCCAGCACAGACCTGGCAGGACATCCTGGGGGTCCCACGGAGGGAAGGCTGGAGAACCAACCCAAAAAATGGGTGCAGCAAGAAACCAGGAGCCCCTCTGTGCTGTCAGAACAAAACCATGGAAAGGAAAAGCAAACCCCATCCACACCATTTCTGCTCCTCTTTGAATTGCACCATTCCTGCTTCTCTTTGAGAACTGCACCATTCCTGCTTCTCTTTGAGAACTGCACCATTTCTGCTCCTCTTTGAGAACTGCACCATTTCTTTTCCTCTTTGAGAACTGCACCATTTCTGCTCCTCTTTGATCTGCACCATTTCTGCTCCTCTTTGAGAACTGCACCATTTCTGCTCCTCTTTGAGAACTGCACCATTTCTGCTCCTCTTTGAGAGCTGCACCATTTCTGCTCCTCTTTGAGAAGAAAGTGCTTTTCTGCTTTTTTTTTTTACCGTGGAGATCTGCAGGAGCCACCCAGCACCATGATTTGCCTCAGCAGTGAGGCAGCTGACACCTGGCACACTTGAACACAACGTGATTTCAGGAGAACACACTTCTGTCCCGCGGGTTTGCAACGAGCACCTTGGGATGTCAGGAGAAGGATGGAACACAAAAGCAGTTTATTGACACGAGCTTTTTTTGCTTCCAAAGGATCTGTTTGAAGGTGGTGACAGACAGTTTAACCCTCCCTTCCCACTCGAGGCTCGAGTGCTCATCATCCTGGTTCCTCGCAGGAGAGCAGCGCTGCAGCAAAGCAGGGAAGGAAGCTGCCAGAGCAGAGTGCTGGGAACAGAGAGGAAGAATGGAGAAGGGCACTCGTTCCAGCAGCAGGGAGATCAGCTTTGAGGAGTGCCGGGCTGCCTCCCTCGTCCCCACGCGGGCAGCGTTAACGTCAGGGCAGGAGCTGCCCCTTCCCACTGCCCCTCCTGCGGCCGGTCCCTCTGCACCCACGGCCACCACCACACACCACAGGGCATGCCTTGGCAGGAATAAACAGGATCTCTAGGACAATTCTTATGGCATATCATTCACACAGACAGACACCAAAATCCCCTGCGCCGGTGCTCACGCGAGATGAGTTCAGAGACTGCTTCAGCTCCTGAGGAATTAAACACATTTTCAAAGGGTCTCACACAATAGTGCTGCTGAGAACCTGGTGATAGTCATCATTAACAAGAGATTTAATTTGCAGATTGCGGAGCACTCACGGTATGGAACGGGCAGCTCTTATTTGCACCAGGTGGAATTGGGCAGGGAAACAGCCCCTGTTCAGTCAGCCCCAGCAGCAGGACCCTGTCCCCACGCAAACAGGGACAGACAGAGCCCCGAGGGCTCTGAGGGCTTCTGCACATCAGCTCTGCACCTGCAAGGAGCTGAGAACCACGGCTCAGGGCCTCCACCAGCCTGCCAGGGCAAATACTGTCACCTGGAGGAGCAGGGGGTGGCAGGAGGCCTCTGTGCAGTGAAATCCCTGCCCTGTCACCCGACAAAGCCCTCCAGGACC